CTTGGTAATGTTCCCTTGGCAAACTCTCACACAGTTTGTCAATAAAATTACAATTCTATTTCACTAGCTTCTGTCATTAATGACTTGGTTTTTGGTCATTTATAAAGATATCAGAAGGACTGATTGTCCCTGGAAACTTGAGAACTTTCACTTGGTCACCAATAAGATCAGAAAATTACTGGTAAGCAATTACTAAGATGCACATTTATTATTTAGGAATCAATGGAGATTACTGGATTTTAGGTAATGCTTATTAAATCTTTTGGAATGAAAAAGTTACTGCTAACATTTAAATCATTCATCAGGCATCTAGTGGTAGAATTCAAAGGTACAGTACTGAGTGTAGAAGTCAAAGTGTGAATAATATTCTGAGACATAAAAGGTAAGTTAAGTTCTACTCTTTATAAATAAATATAATATATAATACATTACAATATATATAATACAATATAATGTTATATTATATAAATGAATATAAATAATAAAACTCTTGAGTTCTACTCTTTATAAATCTGTATGTGGCTCTTCTTTACAAAAATAGCATTAAGTGTATTTTTATGAGTTCTTGATGTCAGATTTTCTTATTCTAAAATAAAAAATCAGTGAAATAACAGCAAGTAGCCTTGTGCTGTGGTGCATGCCTGTAATCCCAGCAGCTTGGGAGGCTGAGGCAGGAGGATCTTGAGTTCAAAGCCAGCCTCAACAAAAGTGAGGTGCTAAGCAACTCAATGAGACTCTGTTTCTAAATAAAATACAAAATAGGGCTGGGGATGTAACTCAGTGGCAGACTATCCCTGACTTCAATCCCTGCCTGGTACTCCTCCCCACAAAAAGAGCAAGTGCTGCTTTGATCAATTTTATATGACATTCTTGATAGAACAATGGCATATTAGGCATAAATATATATTTGCCTTTCTTTTCAAATAATGTGATATTCAAGTTTCAAAATCTTTGAATTGTTTATCTATCTTCTATCATCTGTCTATCCACCTACGTACCCCCCATTCACCTACCTACCTATAATATTTGATAAAGAATGAACAGAATGTGGAAAAAACAGGACACCTGAATGCAAATAGAAAAAAAAAACTAAGTACATCACTTTTTTTTAAAAATTCTACTTAAAAAACCCTAAATAACCTTTTCCTATTAGAGGGTTTATTAACATAAAATCCTTAAAGCTACCTTCTGCTATAGCACAGAATATAACACCTTCAGTGAGCTGCTGAATCCTTTCCAATATTTTTGCTAAAATAATAGGTAATACATACCAGTGCTGTGTATCTGGAATTATTAAGCTGATGATAGCAAAAATACACAATTATGAGAAACAGAATACAAAAAAATAACTCAAAGAGAAGAAAAAATAACATTTGAGCTAATAAAACAAAAATCTCAAGAGATCTAAGTCATTTCCAGAGGAAAACTATAATTAGCAAAAATAGTACCATTGATAATATGAAAATTATTTTTGAAACTTATTTGAATTGTGACAGAGTGATAAATAGGTTTCTTTTTAATTAACTCTTTGTTTCTATTTTATAGGAGACAATTTCCTTTTGTTTTCTAGGACATTTTTTAAAAGTAGTAAAAATTAAGGTCTAACATTTGAAATGTACATGAAGTAATTATTTGGATATGGCTGTCATGGTCTCTCATCTGTAAAGGAAGCTGTTCTTTTTATGTGTGCACTGAATTCAATGTGGCATTGCCTGTCATGATGTTTTTCAAATAAACTAACAGAATGTATTGACCAAGAAAATAGCTGCATGATTCTTCAACATTTTACATTTATTTCTGAGTAAACAGCTTCTTATGCAAATAGCATAAATCACTGGCTAAAAGAGTAGGTTCAAAAGGCATGTGTTTTATTGCTGCTTTTCTTCTTTTTTTTTCTAAATTTCTTTACTACTTATAACTGCAGAACATTTTTAAAAGTGCTTAAATCTATTAAGTGTGAGAGTAATAATACTTACCTACCCATAAATGCTATGAATGTTAAATGGATCAGGTTTAAATACTGAGCAAAATACAGTAAGTAGCCAGTTTTTCAGTCAATGTGTATGAGCTATTTTGATTTTGTCCCCCTTGGTTAACATATATGAATTCAGCTTTTAACTTAACTCTTTCATGTTTTCTTGATATATTGTCACAGCAATGAATTAAAATTGCATTAGAGAAAATTCTCCCATTTGGAGACAAAGTTATAGAAAAAGACATAAGTTTTGTCTATATTTAAGCCTAGGATTAAATTCAACCTGCTATTCAAATTAGTAAATTTGAAACAAGCTTTACTTTCTTTAGGTAAGAAAAAAAGAAAACTTTTTCGATATTCCAGGTTAAATAAGCGAATGTTGCAATGAAATTTGCATGTTTATGGCAAGTACTAAGAACTCAGTAAATTCTAGTCTCCTCTGAATCTAATAGGTAGACAGAAAAACAGATACATATACAGATAAAACACAGATGAGAGAGATGATGGAATGAGATGAAATAATGGACAGATGAAAAGGAAATAGGGAGATGTATGACAGAGACAGATGAAAGATTAGAGACAAAAGCAGAGAGAGAGATCTCTCCTTTCTATCAGTTATATATGGTTACTTGAAAGCAAGATTTAAGTAAAATTTATTTTTGACATTCTTTAAAAGTTCCAATCCTTCCTGAAATGTTCAAGTACTTGATAAATATCTAGTAAATGATGAATAAATTAAATCTATGAATCAGTCAAGAAAATATTATTATAGGTAGCTTTAAAAGTAATATTTTGAAATGGAGGTCAGTTTTTCTTTCCTATGTAATTGATAGATCACCTAAACCCAATTTCTATGTGCATAATAATTTCCCTATATTTATTAATATTTATTTTAGTAATAAAATTAATAAATTATCAATATTTAATATTAATAAATTACTATTAATAAATACTTATATTTATTAATAGGGACATGTGGAAATTATTTGCTTTACAGAATTTCTATTGGCATTCTCATTCTTATACTGCCAATTATTTCAATGTGTAATATTAATTAAAATATATTTTGGCCTTTTACAAGAATTAATTTTTATATAAAAATTGAAAAAGTACATTTGTAGTATGACTTATATTTTCAGAAATAATTAGACTTTCTCTTTTTTTTATAGGGGAAAATATCTCAAATACACTCCCATTAAATATATTAGTTAGTGTGTAAAAGTAAATCAGAGTTTATATGAACAGCAAATTTTTTGTTCTGTTTCTTTTATTTATATAATTCCTTTTAAAGATATAACAGTACATGCAGACTCTTCATTTACTCTGTGCAGCTTTGTGACTAGTACCTATAAATCACTTTACGTATCATACACATAGTTGGGTCTATCTCATGCTGTGCATTCAGACATCAAGATCCAACAATCCAGCATTTAAAATGTATTTAAAAAATCTTTATATATTATAATATTACAGAGCTACAACCCATTATGACAATCTAAGTCACTTTAAATAAACATCCAAATTTATAGAAACTGTGAAAATCAGATATTTATCCATATTGCTTCTGTTAAACATAATTTAAAAAATAGTATTGCATTGTTATGTAGAAAGCTTTTGTAAAAAAAATCAGGAAAACATCATTAATCTAACACTTACTATTTAGCAAACAAGGCTTTTGTGAAGTAAACTTTCAAGTAAATACAGCAAATTTTTATTCAATGAAGATAGAAATACAAGCATTTATTTCTGTTTTGAATATATAAAAGTATTATATATAAACTTTTTAATATATTATATTATGTATGTTTGTATTGAAATTTATGCATAAAGTTAAAAATTAATAAGACTGTATCTACTCATGTTTTAATATAGAATACACTCTAGACAAAAAGTTTGCTTTTTATGAATCATCAAACAATAAATAATTTAGAAGCTATGCATGCATGGTTTAAATGTAGCTTCTTTCTCCAAAAAGCATCAAATAATAAATACTAAGTGTACTTAATAGTATACCTACTTATCTAACAAATGTATTTGAAATAATAAAATCTGATTGATATAGCTCTTTTCTTTCCTTCTTCTTTGTGTATGTGTGTGTGTATGTGTGTGTGTGTGTGTGTGCGTGTGTGTGTGTGTGTGTGTGTGTGTGTTGCTGCAGATTGAACTCAGGGCCTTGTGCATGCAAGGCAAGCACTCTATCACCTGAGTTTTATCCCCAGCCCCAGCTCTTTTCATTTTTCACTCTAGAACATAAAACAACCTATGTATAAGCTGTAAATCTCACACAGAAATGTCTTAATTCTCTTTGGGTGAATCATTGACAAGTATTTTATTGTGTTTGAAACAATAAAAATATAAACAATAAATAACACTAAGTGAACAAATTAAAGATGGACTTTTAGAAAAATATGTATTTAACAAGTCATGTTTCTTTATTATCTCAATGTAGGCCAGTTCATATTTATTTGACATCAGTGAAGACTTATAAATGTACAAAACAAAAGAATCCAAACTCTGGGTTAGCTACTATTTGACTCTTGAAACACTATAAGGAAGCTAAACTCTGAACTAAAAATAAATCAACAGTGGTAAGAGATTCAAAATTTTGATTTGAGTTTTCATTTCAACTAAAATTATCAAATTTACTGATTTTAATATTGTAAACGTGTTTACTAGAATGTACATATCTAATTAATATACCCCATATTTTCCTTGTTAACAAAACCCCACATAAGAAAGGTTAGGAAGTATTTATGAAATAAGAATGATATTACTTAACTTTGGTCAAGTTCTCATATTAAGAAGGTTATCCATGGCCCTCCTTTTTCAGCTGTGACTGTGATATTGAATATTTTCTTTTAATCTGGATTTTATTAAAAATCTTTTAATCATAAGATTTGCTGCTTTTTTGATCTATTATCAATGGTCTATTCCATTGTGATAAATTGAAACTCTAGGTCTACTAATAGGTTTATAATGATTGCTTAAGCTTTACACTTTGTAAGCATTGGAAGACTTCACTCACCTTGTTCAAGTGGTTGGCTTTTAGTTGAAGTAGTTTTCATCTTGAGTGCCTCCCTAACAGACATGTCACAGCAGGAGCCTTTGTTAGTGTCTTGGTCACTGTCAGCCTGATCACTGTCCCCGTGCCCACTGTCTCTCAGGCTGGCTCTTTCTGGGTCCTTAAACGTGGAGCTACTGAAATACATATAAAGAAAAAGAAGAGAAAGTGTTGTCTCTACTAGTTTAAATCTGAAGTGTAGTCTCTAGCAAAGCAATTTTGACACGAATGCAAATGGGGAAGCCGAGAAAGTTATTTAATAGGCCTTACCTTTGAACAAACTGCTGCCTGCTGCCCATGTAATTGGGCTCTGCGGGAAAATTGTCTGTCTGTGAAAAAGAAGGAAAAAAATACGTATAGTTGTACACTGGACAAATCTCCTGCAGAGCAACAAGATTTCCTAGTGGAAAAATGATTAATAATTTAAAAATTCCCTTAATCTTCAGATTTGTACATTTTAATTAAATTGGAAATTGCTGACATGTAATTATGTACTCAGAACAATTAAATGATTCCGGTCCACAAATTACCTGTTAAAGTAAACAAAGAGCCTGTCATAACTGGCATTCTCTGTTAGTACCAGGATGGATGACACTGTCTATGTTGGTTCTTTGCTTAGATATTAAGATTGAATATTTGTGGGAGGACTGGGAAAATGACCTAATTTCTCCATATTAAAACTGTGAATTATTTAATCAACTCAGTTTTAAACATAATTACATCATCTGCTGGGATTCTCTGACCTTCTTGATGTAATATCATTTAAAGTCATCCACTCCTCTATTAAAAAATACAGGACCTTTCCTTCAAATTTTGCCGGAAACAGACACAAGCACTTCACATATGGTTGATCTCATCTCTAATTCATTCTCGGCTACATCCCAACTATGGAAATTATATTAAGCAATCCAGTGAAAATGAGTGTCACTTTCTGGTTCTTAAAAACAAAGTAAAAAAAAAGAAAAAAAGAAAAAAAAACCCACGTTATTTAAAACATCGAGAGTGAAGACACTGAGAAACCAGGCTTGTTTTTGTGGTTGTTTCTACTGCTTCCAAACTGATGTGGAGGTCTGCCAAAAAGAACTGAATTCTCCTTGTATCATGGAACAGAGTCTTTTGGAAGAAAGAGACTGGATCTTTCATAGATCTCCCTATACTGTACATTCATACACGTTACTTCTTCTTGCAGCTGACACAGTGACAAAGCTTCTCCTGTTTTCTGCATCACTTCATATCACACACCATTATGCCCTGAAGCAGCTATGGTTCATACAAGACCATCTAGCATGCAAGGATCAATGACACGGACCATGCAATTCATGAAGCAGAGGGTCCAAGGTAAGGATTAATGCAATGCAACATGTGTTTTCCTTATAAATAAGTCTAACATAAAATATAACTTTTTTTTCTTTCAATATAAAATTTAACTCATTTGGCTCTGTGAACTATTACTGGGGAAAAGAAAATTAAGAAAAATTACTTGAACTATTATGTAAAATTCACTATGGTCTAGAAGTTTGGTGGTAGACTATGCCCACAATTTTTTTTTTATTTATACCTTTTTTTTCTTCTTCTTCTACTTTCTTTTAAGGCCAAATGACCTTTATCAAGCTACTTCAATGATGAAGGAAAAAGTTGGATTTATTTCTTATTCCTAAACATCTTTAATTAGTGTTTGTAGCAGACATTTTTCATTAACACATGAACTAGTTTCTGGATTCACTGAAGCATCTTAATTTTTGTTTCTATATTGACAAGTTCTTAACTTTTAATGATAACTTGGTTTTCTAGTAAAATTAATAGTGCTAATCTACGCAGGCGACAAAAATGTTTGCTAAAGAATTTTGCCAATTTTCTGAATTGTAATCATTTAGAAATTCTACATACTTAATACTAGTTTAGCTTTTTGTGTGTGGCAGGGGTCAGTTCCAAGGGTTGAACTCAGGGGCACTCATCCACTGAGCCACATTCCAACCCTTTTTTGTACTTTATTTATAGATAGGGTCTGAGTTGCTTAGCGCCTTGCTTTTGCTGGGACTGGCTTTAAACTCGAGATCTTCCTGTCTCACCCTCCTGAGCTGCTAGGATGAGCCATTGCACTGGGCTTAGTTTATCTTTTGAATTGGTCAAAAACATGTATACAATCCACCATTGCTGACCTTACTGTTAAGAAGACAAATTCCTGGATAGTAAGGAGAAAGTAGAATTTTAGGTGGGTGTGTAGTGTGTGCCTGAAATTCCAGCCGCTCACAAGACTGAAACAGGAGGACTTCAAATTCATACCAGCCTCAGTGACTTGGAGAAACCCTAAAAAACTTACCAAGACCCTGTCTCAAATTAAAAAAATAAAATCAGGGCTGAGGATGTGGCTCAGTAGTTAAGAACCCCTGGGTTCAACCCCTGCACTAGTGCCCTTGAGTTCAATCCCTGGACCCGCCATCCCCCTAAAAGCTAAATTAGCATTAAGTATGTAGAATTTCTAAAAAACTACAGTTCCCAAAATTGGCAAAATTCTTTAACAAACATTTTTGCTGCCTGTATACAAAAAAATAACAACAACAAAAAGCCAATGTGAATTGGAAACTCTAGTTAGGAAATAATATAAGCATTCTTACAGATAGTCTTGAGATTTTAATGGTGTCAATTAGATGAAGTCCAGTAGGATGAGAATCCATATTCAGTTAGACCCTGGGGAAACTTTTCCTCTCGTTCTAACAGGGATATTTTTTAAAATGTTGGCAAAAAGATATATGAAAGAGGAGGAAGCAATGTGGAGGGAGGAAAAAAGAAATCTAGAAAAAGCTAAGCTGGTCTATGATCATGGAAGTACAGTTTTAAAAATTTACAAACTGATCAGTACTAGAGTATCAGAAGTTTAATAATAATGGCTGCACTCATCCATTAAAGTACACAGGAATGTGAGAGAATGTGCAAGTGTGTGTATAATTAGCATAATGAAATAGCCATTTGGCCCTTAACAAACATACAACCAATTCACTACAAAAACCACACTGGTTTAATACAGAGAGTAACATTTTCATTACCTAGGCTCCAAGGGTGTCTGAAAACTCATTTAAAATAATCTGAATATAAAATAACAGCATTTGCATAGAAAAATGAAAGAGGGAAAAAGCCATATGTATCACAGCATCATTTAATTTAGAAATAGAAGCACTTTCAGATATTTTACAACACTGTACTCTAAAAATTCAATGCTAACTTGTATATTTATAATTCTTAAATCTTAAATCTTAGAAGAAAATAAAATATAAAATGAGACACTTGTAACTCTTTAGGTCTCAACTGAGTATTTTAATATGCATATTTATAAATCTTAAAAACTTTATGCTAGTTTATAATGATTAATCACTACAATGTTTTCTCCTCAAACTCAGCTTGGACACAGAGATGTTTAAATCTTATTTCAAGAACATAATATTTCTCAAAAAAATGTGTACCTTGAACTGGTGGGTAGATACAAAAATGTTCTCAAGTATGAATTTTTTTAAAAATTAGATTTGATAACCTATTCAATCAATGAAACAAAAGTTATTATTATTTTTTTAAAATCATTGTTTGCTTGTAACTATGTTATAAAGTAACATAAAATTGAATGTGCCCTCTGGCTTTATTGTTGTTGTTTTGTTTCTTAAAGACAATAAAAATTTAGAGATTCTTTCCTTTGTGTACAAAACAAATGTAAGCAAGCAATCAAAAACTTAACTGAATAAGTTCTGCAGGAATTGATGTGATTATTTTCCTTTACACATTTCTCTACTAGTACTTGGCAAATTGTACATTTATAAGTGATATTTAAATTTTTATCAGCAGTAATCAATAATAAACTATTCCTAAAATATGACATTCTCTAAATTTGCTCATTCCAGTAACATTCTGAAACACAAATCATAATTTCAAAAACAAACTCTCTGAGAAAGGTTAAAAAAATGTATTGTAGCAAGGCCTTAAGAAACTTAGCAAGACCCTGTCTCAAAATAAAAAATAAAAAAGGGATGGGGATGAGGCTCAGTGGTCAAGTGACCAAGGGGTCAATCCTGGTACAAAAACAAAACAAAACAAAACAACTCAATGACAACAACAACAACAAAAAAGGTGTATTTTTAAAACTGTACCATGTTCACTGAAATTGCGAAAACTAATTAGGAAAGTATATTAATTTCATATGGACACTTTGATATGCCTTAAGAAGTTGATCTGAGAAAAGATGGTAGAAGGATTGAAAAGATTTTTACTATTAAATTATTAAACATAGTAATTTTAAAAAATATATCAAGCCTTTGACAAAATTCACCATCTATTAATAAGACAATTTTCAGCAAATAAGAAATACAAGAAAATTTTCCAATTATACAAAGGGCATCTACAAAAAATAAATGTACAGCTAGTATCATACTTAATGGCAAAAGACTGAACACTTTCACCCAGGCCAGGAGGTCCAGTCTCAACACTCCTATTTATCCTCTACCAAATAAAATAAGGCAAGAAAATAAATGAAGTTCTTACAAATTAGAAAGGAAGAACAAAATCTTCACAGGTAGTGTAGCTATTTACAAATAATATTATCATTTAGGTGAAAAGTAGTAGGAGTCAAAACAAAACTTGCTAGATCTAATAAATGAATTAAGCAAGAATGATAACATTTAAGACCATCACATAATGGAGAGGGGCTTAGGATGAGTGGAGGAACTTTGGATGAGGCAAAGGGGAGGGTAGAGGGGACATGGGGGTAGGAAAGATGGTGGAATGAGACAGACATCATTACCCTAGGAACATGTATGATTTCACAAATGTTGTGAACCTACTTTGGATACAACCAGAAAAGTCAAAATTATGCTCCATTTGTGTATAATGAATCAAAGAACATTCTCCTGTTATGTATAACTAATTTTAAAAATTAAATAAACTTTAAAAATGCAAAAGAAAATCAATTATATTTCTAAATTCTAGAATGGACTGTGGGAAACCAAAATTTCAAGCAATACATTTGTAATAGCTCTCCCAAATCAAATACTTAGTAAAGACACTTATATTAAAAAAAAAAACTTGAATGCAAATGAATTATAATAGCCCAAACAATATTAAGAAAGAAGTATCCAGATGAAGAAATCACATCACTCTATTTTGAGACTTACAATTGAAGCAAAACAATTAAGTCAGTCTGGTATTGCCTAAAGAATGGAAACACAGATCAATAGAACAGAGGAAACTATACAGAAGTCGACCCACACAAATGTGGCCAATTGATTTTTAACAAAGGTGCAAAAGCAATTCAATAGATAATCCAGTGAAAATGAATCATGACCTATGC